GGCCCATGGAGAGGCCCAGACTAATCCCCAAAGGGGTGGTGCAGCCCACGGATGGACCCTCACTCCGGGTATTCAAATGGGCCGTAAGATAGGCCCATATCCGCGTGGCCACAAGATAAGATGTAGTGGGGTGCCTTCGAACCCGGGTTGCTTAGCAAATCCCAAAGCTCGCCTACCACTAGACCACCATCTTGTGGTTGAAATAACCTTTTTTATTTCCTGAGTTTTGAAAATTTCAACAAGTATTTAAACTACTGCTTTCCTTTGATGCAATCTTATTGACATTGTTACATAGCAATGTGGTAAAGAGTGTCAATAGCCATTTGGTGCAGTTATACGTGTCTATCACATCTAATGACTTTCACGACCAACATTAAGGTGCTCTAACGACTGATTAATCGTAATTTTAGTGCTTTAATTTTCCTTTTGATATTTGGTATCTCGCCGAACAAACTAACCATATATGATTTTATTAATCACAAAAAAGTCAATGTGAAATCTTATTCTTTTTTAATTGTCTTAGCTTAATTCGCTTATGCTATATATTTCTTGTCAACGGAGCTATGTTTCCCTTGTCTAGTAAAATAATACAAGGGTGTTAGTTTCCTTTTAATATATATAATTTGTGTAGAATATTATTTTTAAGTTAAATTTCAAAAACTGATTCTCGACTAAAGATCTGAAAGTCTCAACGTTTTGAGTACTTCTTTTTTGCGAAGCGAGTACTTTTCTATTTTTGAAGTGGAAACCATTAAACCAAGAATGGTTGATTTGACAAAGATCATGCGTTTCCTTTTATCCGCTTCTTCTTTTGACTTCTAACTTCTAAGTGCAATGCTTTCTCATTATGTGTTTCATAAGATTCAATGCATATCGGTTCTGTAGATGTGTACTAATTAGTATTGTCAATGAATTAAGCAAAGTTCTATAAATATTAATTTTGTGGTTCTTAAAAAAAAAAAAAGAAAATTGTGGTTCTTAAGCTTTAAACAATGTTACTGCGTAGCCTTTTTAGTTTAATTGATTTTTGGGTTCAAGGGAAACATAGCTCGTTGATTTAGGGTACAAAAAAAATTAGTTAAAATAACCTTTAGTTTGATTGGTTTTTGGTTTCGATGTATGTTAACGTACATGATAAAAATAGTCTGCTTACATTATATTAGTAACCATATTACGTGTAAAGAAGTTAAAAATCCTTTTTACGTTGTAATGAAAAACGATAGCGTGATCGCGTAAAAACAAAACGAACGCTAAATGCGAAGTATCTAAATATTTTATAACTTGGCAAATTGTGTTCCCTAAGAGATGTGATCATCTCAAAGCTCAAGGGACGTGACTTATAAGTCGTAGAGATGAGATTAATTGTTAAATTAACATACATAATTTCGTATATCAGTTACCTAAATATAGCATTTGCAGAAAACCATGGGAAATGGATAATGCAGAGTCGACACTTTGATTGGGAAATGAATTGTCGGCCGAACGTGGCTGACGGCTTAGCATCAGACCGACTATTAATATTTCCCTTTAATTTTGATTTGCTTGCCGTTACGGTTACATTAACAATTCAAAACTATTTTTAAACTTAGAACGAATATATAAATACTTGTGTCCATTAGTTGCATTCATCATGCATCAATTGAGTTCAATCTAATATAATATGATCTTAACAATACTTTTGATTCTTTTCCACAAGAGCAATGTATCGTATACTATATATTGCATTATTAGTGATTAATAATGGCATGCACGCTGTTGGGATCTTTCTGCAGATATGCAATTTGTCTGCACAACTCAGTGGTAGAATAAAGATCACTTCTCGATACCAGAACAATTCAAACAAATACTGAAAATCCGAATCAAAATCTAGACTTGATCATCATATCTTAAAGATTCTACGTGTGAGGTTGTTACAATAGTTCAATGTCTATAAGTAAAACAATGTGACTTCATTATAATATATGGTTAAATAATTATGCTTTGGGGAAAAACAAAACCGGTCAAAGACTCTAGGAGAGTAGTATATATTTATGTTGCAATAGAATGGGTATACATATAAGTTACAAAATCTATCAATTCAATCAAACTACCAATTTAAGGAAGAGAGATTACCAAATCCAAATCCAGTTACATAGACATATAATAACTAGCCTCGGGAGGAGACCATGATATGATTTCCAAGAACTTGTACTAATTAAAACTTAGGCATACGAAAAAGAAAGATTGGTCTTTGGTATTAAAAGGTGATTATACTTTATATAAATATTGTAAATTCCTTTATAGTCCATGCTATCGAGTTGTCGAGTTGAATTAACAGCTTCTAATTTTTGTACTCCTTGTATTTGTATAAATGCCGCCGTATAGTTAAAGTTTAAATTTGGAATATGTATATGTGCTTTCGACATCTCCAGTTTTAAACCATGTTCTTCTTTTTGAACCATGTTCAATAAGAGATAAATAAGATTTTAACCAAGTTCTTTTTTTTTTTGAAACACCAAGTTCGGTTGCATACTTGTCAACTAAACAAGCCTAGATCTCTAGCTAGAAAGAAAA